TCAAATCGATTTTTGCAGGGATAGTAAAGCAGTTAGTATCGAGGCCAGCAGATCGGTTAGTATCAGAAGCAGTATTAGTATTGAGGGTACTAGTATCTGATTCAGAATTTGTATCAAGGGTAACAGGACCGGATCCAGAATATACAACAGCACCAGACTCAAGATATGTATCAGGAGTATCAGAGGTAGCAGCACCAGACACAAAATATAAATCAAAGTCAGCAGCACAAGGAGAACTTATACTAAGAGTACTAAGAGAAGTAGCAAAATCATAGTTGCATGAAACACACTAACTGGAAGCTCCAACTGGTGGTGTGGAATTATCTTCGAGTTCATCACTTTCCTACCAATTTCTTTTTGGTTTATTATGATTTTGTGCTAGTAAAGTATTATCGCATAGCAACAAAATCTGGCTTAGCTAAAAAGTATATAAAGTATATTAGCACTGATATCTATATAGATATAGATTATATATTGTAATAATTACTTTTTTTGATCACTATTCTTTCTTTATAATCTTCACAACATGGTTGTGGTGATCATCATTGAGTTGATGTTGAATTTCTTATTTTCTTTCTTCTTTAGCAAGTTCATTATCTGTTTTGGATACTTCATCACTATGGTATCCACTTTTACTGATTATTTCTTTAATATTATTCAAAGCATGTCACTCTGAAATATTGGTGAAAAAAATGTTTGCTAGATATTGACTACTTGTTTAGTGCAGATAGGCGAACTCCTTTTTCCTTCTATTTATTTTCTGAAATATATATTTAAGATTGTATTGATAGTTATATAGACAGTACATTAATACAAAAAAAAAAATTTCTTACTGCAGTTATTTTTTGATTTTTTCTATTTTTTTCACACTTCTGCTTGTCTTTTTCTGGATCTTACTACATTATATATTGTTCTCTCTGGTGTCGATGGCACTTCTTGATTATTTTTAATATTTGATTGTTGTTTATATGGTACCTTTGGACATCTCTTTTTATTATTTTAAATGAGTTCTAAATAAACTCTGCTTTAAAATCAATCCAACGTTTTTTCGCATCTGATTGCATTGACTTCTTGATTTCTTAGATGGAAATTAATTTTTTTTTTTTTGTAGTCAAGGTTAGCCTCTTTGGCTTCCCGCTTTTATTAGATATTAGGATCATGTGGTGCTCTTTTCAAGGGTGCCTCAGACAACTATATTCTGACGAAGATACATTCTAGCCATATCTGCACCTTTTGAGCATCTAATTAAGAATCTACCTATTACTAGGTTTTACACTAGATGCCATACCTATAACCTACTATTACTTGAGTTATCCAATTAAACCCTTTAATCTGAATTTCTCTGCCAATCCATCTAATCTTACCTGGAATATGCGATACATAAGTCAGTCCAAGTTCTAAGATCATTACACACCACCTATAGGACTACTAGCATGGTTAACCAATTCATTCTCAAGTGCATCACCTGCTAGAGCAGTCTGGTCCCACTATACCATATTACCTAGTCTACTTCGGTAACTTATGCCTAGACTGAGACCAAGTACTTGTGAGCTGAAACCGTTATTGTTACCTACTACGCCCTTATAGAGTTCACCCAGACCCTAGCACCCACTATACAGACTATCTGCCGTACACCATTACCTCAAACTTCCAATTCAGATGGCCCGGAAGGGCTATAACCTGCCCTGGTCTCCACGGTTAGGTCCTTTTCCTTCAGTACTCTCCAGCGGCCTGGTTGGTGGAGTGCCTTGTCAAACACTTCGGTTCTGTTCAGTTTTCTAGTTTCTATTGATAATCCTTTACATAGTACCGTCGAAGATCTGTGCTACTTCTCTACTTAGGTCTTGCCAAGCGGACTTCTATATACACTGACCTCAGATTTACATGACTGCTTCACTTGGGTTTTATGTAACTTGTACATTACACTATTGTTTCACAGTCTCCCAGTACGAGCTGGTGTGATCTAGTTACAGATGTCGATCTGCCTTTACACTTACAGTTGTCATAACACTGTACTAAGAATTCAAATTTTTGTCACTGCTAAGATTCGAACTCTGTTCTTGCTACTTGGGGGTGCGACAACTTCACCACTTCACTAAGTCACCACACCCATTCTTAGATGGAAATTATAATATCATTCTATTATAATAAATTAAAATAAATAAATAAATATATGAAAACACTTGATATCTATATTACAAAGAATAATAAATCGAAATATATAAAACATCTGATATTCATATTGATGTTAAATTTAATAAATCAAAATATATTAAAACAGCCAAAATCTTATTTGT